CACAGCAATTTACAGGGCTTTACTTAGACTGTTAGTAGTGTTAGTTCAGTTACCCATTGCACTCCAAATTATCAAATTAATCCGCAATAAATCTCATTTAAGCAGTATAAAAATGGCGTGCGACCACTTCCAAGTATCTACCTTTTTCTCAATGTTTATGCTGCCCTTTTAGATCCCTAGGTTGGCAGTACCCATCCTCCTCAAAATGAAGCCAAAAGGGTGGTTTTGTGAGGTGCATCCAGAATTCTTCACTAGGAGTATTGTGATGTTGATGGTTTCTTCTTCCTCACTCTCAATTCTACTAATTTAGCACATTTTCTAACATTTTTCTTTGTTATTTTCTTTGTGGTTTGGCAACATCACTTTTTGTCCATATTTATTGTATATTTCATTTTATTTTAGTTACATTACTTGTTATTCTCCACTCTTTATTTCTCCTTGCTTGCCTTAAAATCTTTGTTTCAGTCAGTTGTTTTTTCAATGACCGTTGCTAGGTTTTTATGGTCTGTCTTTATTAAACCATGCCTACAGTCATGAAAACTTTATTGTTATGTGAAGGTCATAAACATTTCATTCTACACAGATTAATTCCTTTTTAATATATATGTAAAAACTCTGATTATGCCACAAGATTATGTAAATATAAACAAATATAAGTGGTATAAGCAAAACTGTAACGAATCAGTCAATAGTCACCTATCATTATCAAAATTGTTGCAGCTCAAGAAGTTGAATCAAACCTGCAGGCACGAGGCCTTGCAGGACGTATCTGAGGTCTACAGCTTGTTACTGGCAATGGCTGTAGTCACTATATCTGATATAGGGCTATGATAAGAGATGTACTAATATTCTTCCACTCTTTTTTGTCTCCTTTTCTCATCACATGTCTGGAAGTGTTCAAAAGGCATGTGACACTTGGGGATATGGTTTAGTGGTGAACAGTGGGTTAATGGTTAGACTCAATTATCTTAGAGGTCTTTTCAATCTAAGTATTCTGTGATTCTGTGATTCAATGGTTATTACTTCCAATTCGCACACTGACCAGTTAGGAAGTCTAACTTCAGATAAAGTTTTAAAGGCTTGGGTTTTTTAGTTCTTCATTGCTGTTTCTCAGGCTATATTTAGTGGTGCTGTGCTTCCTTGTTGCAATGTTACAGAATTTGAAATTGTGGCTGTTTAAGCTATAGCAAAATCAAGATGCTTCAAGGGAAAAAAAAAGCAAAGAGAAATCTGTGGAGAATGCTCCAAATACAAAGTGAGCTCAAAATTAGTTACTGCAGTACTTGGATATAGAAGTTTGGATAGACTTTGCATACTCTGGGAAAGCTGAGAATATCCTTGTTAGGGTCACATCCTTATCTGGACATTTCCTTTTCTTGAGATCCTAACCAAACACCTGTATTTCCACAGGAATTTTAATGTGCTTCACTGTATGCTATATGTATACACAATTCTTGTACAGTCTGAATGCTGCTTTTCCCATTGTGGTGATGTATTTTGAAACAAGAGGAAGTGATATATAAGCCTCTGTACTAATAAAGGTGCGTTAATGCCAGCCTGTTAGGACAGAATGAGCAAGATTGTTATAAATACCACTGCAGATAGTGTTATCAATCTTAGACTTATCTATCCCTAATGCAGTGCCAAAACTAATCAGTCTCTATACAACTAACATACTAACAACAAGCAGACTCTGAGGAAGTATGCTTTTATCACAGTAATAGTCTAAAACAGTATTATTAATTCAAAATTCATCTTGTAGATAAAATTGCTGTGGTAACTGACTGACTTCTTGGTTGTTCAACTTAATATTCAAAGATTGTGCATAAAAACAGTAAACAAATGCCTAAACATCTCAGGTTAGGGACAATAATATGGATTCAATTCAATGTAGTGTCTGTTGTTGCTGCAGCAAGAATAACAAATAGATCCAAATGTAGAAATAAACCCCAGCTATTTGGATTGCTTGCATCTCTTACTTGTGTCTGTAAATGAAATATGTTCCTCAAAGAATTTGTGCCTCTAAGGTGCTGACTTTTCTTACAGTTAAGACAATATTTGAAGGGGATAAACTTATTTTCTTAAGTCAATGGAGAAAATAATGTCTGTAAGAGAAGCGATCAATCTATTTTTTTAAGAGATTATTTCAGTATTTCACTGTTACAATGGAAAGCATAGCCTCTCAGTTCACCCTTTCTCTGTGTCTAACCTTGATGAGAATAAACCTGTTAACAAGAACAAGTTATTCTCTGGGAACAATTCTGTTCCTCAGTGAAATTCATGGCTGCTGCGGTAACTACAGAATAATAATAGGCAATGGAAAAAAGTTATTAAAAGTTTTTATATTGCAGAAGTCAAACATCAAGGTGCTTTTAAAGTGACCCTTTTAGTTATTATAAAAGAAGCCCTATAGCATCATTGTAATTTGTTATTTTGTAAAGGCTTCCATCCCCCAGCAATATCTGTTTTTCCTTTTTAACTCTAGTCATGTTGCCCTGTAAATCAGGTTTATAGGAAGGAGATTTCTTTATTAGTTTCAAGGCAGATGATGGTCAGTAGAAGTAATCCTCTGGGCAAAATTCTTCCCAGCCTCAGCTTAAACCAAGTTTTGATTCATTTATTATATTCTCAGCCTGTTTGCAGACCTCCTGCTGACATCAGTAACAAGCAATGCACTGAGAAAAACACAGAGCTTTGAAAATGAGATGTTATTTGTGTTTGAAAAGAGTATTTTAACATTTTTCTCTGTACTAATGCTGTCACATTTTATATGCAGTGGTGGGATTTGCTGTGGTTTTATATTTTGGCACCAGCCTATAATGTGTGTGCTATCATGCTGTATACTCAGGGAAAAAAATCAACATGGTAATATTATATTTGCAGCCCACTTTATGGGCTAATTAGGATAAAAGATGCTGTGAATTCCATAACTATTCACCAAACTACACAAAACTGTGTCAATACATAAAAAAATGTTGCTCAATCCTATTGAAAGGGTTTTCACTTAGCAAGCTATTCTTTGCTTAAATGTAGGAAAAAAAGCTGCAATGGATCTGGGAAACAAGTGGTCCCTGCAAGGGATCTAGCAACTGAAATGTGATACTAAACTGCAATTTCAGTGATCTACTTCAGATTCTTTTATATATCATGGCTAATTAAGTAACCAAATTATATTCAAGTAATTCAGCACCTGCTTCATCAGACTACAGAATGTGGAATTAGATATATACTACTTCAGCTTCACTGATTTGATTATGTAGTAGAGAGAGTTGGGTGAATATACATTAATCCTATGAAATTAAATCAAGAAAATTAGCTGAAGATATTCCTAGGGGCCTATTTGGTGTCTATTTGCATAAAATGCTGAATTACCTGCTTACTAAAATCAGTCTTTTTTCTTTTTAATGAGAAATGGAAGAGAACTGAAGAATTGAGTTTAATGAGAAATTTAAGCAGCAATGTACAAGTTCAAACCAGAAATACATATAACTCCTGGCTCAGACAACAGCCAATAGCAGATCATTAAAGCATAAGAACAAAACAAGTATATATTTTTTCCCTTGGTTAGTGTTTTTTTCTGGTCTCTTTGGTATCCTCTATAATGTGTGCAAGTATGATGTAATTATGCATACTTTGAAGAAACATTTTCTTTTTGTTGGCTTTAAAATTCTTTAAGATAATATCATCAATGCTTCCTCATAAGAAATGATTACATGAGGCAAATAAAGCCTATGCTTTATTTTTAATCCTTGCCATTCATCATTTTATAGACTTCTAGCCATGCTGTCTCTTCAGAAATGTGAGTCATTTTATCTCTTCACAGACAGCCATTCCAGTATTTCTAACCATTTTTTTAGTCATGTTTATAGCTTTTCCATTGGCATGGGATGCTTATTACTTACTGTCATTTCTAGAAGTCTTAACAAATAATTTAAGATGCAGAAGTCTCTCCTACAGGCTTTTCAAATTAGCTGTTATTAGCTCCATATGAAATTACTTAATTTCAATATTAAGTATGGACATTGTAGTCCTGTTTTATCTCAGTCTGAAATTGTGACTGTTCTATTGTTACTCTTAGTCTTAGGCACTTCATATCATTTATGAAAAAAACCCTTGTTTGTAATTTTCTTAAGGTTTTCTAAGCATTTCAGTTATCTAAACTATGTCACCTGTGAGTAATTTGTAAGCAATATCCATATTGACTTTGATTTATTTAAGTAAGATATTAGTGAAGGAAAATTATTGAAATAAAGCAATAATAAATAATAAGATGACAAAACATAGAATCATAGAATCATGGAATTTTAGGGGTTAGACCTTACAGATCATCTAGTCACAATCCCCCTTGCCATGGGCAGGGGCACTTTCCCACTAGACCATATTTACAAAACATATGAATTAAGTGTAAGCAGTCCTAACACTACAAAAGTATTTTGTCTGTAGAGAAATACATTTTGATCCTTGGGGAAATATTTACAATTCACAGTAATTTCCATTTTTGTTTGGAGACAAAATGGAATTTTGAAGGACAATGGTAAATAGAAAGCACAGTATGTTTAGAAAAGCCACTATCCTCAAGTGGTTAGTGTACATAGGTCAAACCCAAGACATGGGCTCTGTTTAACATATTCAGAATAGATACTTGAATTTTTTTTCTGTGGACTCAGAATAGCTAATAACCAAAGGCTTTATGTGGGTTATAGAATGCTTCACCTGTTTTGAGCAGCTGTTTTTCTTGAAAATGAAAAATCATTCCTAGTTCTGCTTTGTTACAGACAGTGCATTTCAGCAAGCGGTTTTGAGTCACAAAATGTTTTATTAAAAAAAAGCAAAGCAAATTGTCCCTGAAGAAATTTTCTTTTCCCCTCATTACATGCATGAGACACTTCTCATGCATGCAAAGTTCTCTGCTTTGTATTCTCATCATGTACTTTGTATTTTTCACATTTGAATTTGTTTGCATTATGCATTAATCTCTCTGCTTTCTATTTTGGTTTCAGGTTTCTCTTGGACTTCTACATGCTCGAGCTACTCACATTCTCTGGCCTCCACAACGCTGGCAGAAGTTACAGCCAATGCTACCTCCAGAGCGCAAACCACTGCACAGAGAGCAACAGTGATCTAAATGTTCAGGCAGGAAAACACTGCCATGAAGTTTAACCAGGAAGAGTTGCTGTGGTTATGCCATCACTTGTAAGAGTTTTGCCAAGTGTGCTGTGATATCAGGTACCGTATGAGCAAATACACATGGCAAATTCATGTTACAGTGCCACTTTAAGTGTAAAGTTCTTTGGGGTTTTTGTTTGTTTGTTCTGTTGTTTGGTGGGTTTTTTAAGCCTCAAACAGTAGTGCATTGTATGTTAGTTTGGTTTGAAATAATTGGTTGTAGATGGACTGAATGTTCACTTTTTTCTGGGAGTGGTAAAATGCTTATGTCTGTACCTGTACTTCTCTGGATAATAAATGATTAAAAACAGCAATAAAGTATTTGGATCTCTGACATTCAGCTTGTTTCTTTAATAACTGAATGGAACCTTTATTAATATCATTGATCATCCATAAAAAAAAACCCACCCACAACATAATATGCTTTGGATTGTCCCATAATTTCTAACACTGGAGAATCAGTACTTCTGTAGCTGAGGAGGTAATAATTTCAAAAAGCTAATAAAATTTTTTTTATTTAATGTAGCTTGTGTTTATTATTAAACTGAGTACACATTGCTTATTTCTAATTTCTCTTTCAGGAGTTTTTTATATAAATCTTCTTTGTATATCTTCATATCCAGTAAAAATGTATAAATTATAATGCAGTATCTGAAGGCAATGTTTCATTAATTTCTTGAGTATATCTTTGTTAACATTGATTGACACATTTTCTTGAAACTATGTAAGTAGATAAGAGATACTATACAATTAATACCATAAGATATATAGTTAGTATTCTAAAAATACTCTGTGTATATGCAGTAAAGCTTCTGCACACAGTGTGAGTGAACAAGACTTGAAAAATGACACGTTTTCAGATGAAGATCAATATGAGACAGCTTATTTTCATATTTATTGAATTTTACCTCAGATAGGCTAGTACTCTAAAAATTTATCTAATCACACAAAAGATCTTAAAACACTTTCAGTTAAAACCATGCAATTATCAGAAGTTCAGAAAAGATTAAAATAAGTCTATAGCTCTTTGAAGACACACATCTGCCTTATCAGTTAGATGATAGCTTCAATCACTATGAGAATTCTCTATTACTGTCTAACCACCTTCTTAACTGCTCCAGTTCTGCAGTCTTTCTGAACACTTTACTGTGTATGTGTGCCAGGATCTTTGTTACAAAAAGGTATTCTATAGGTTTCTGAATTCATCTTATTTAAAGTATTGTAGTTTTTTTGGCCTTAATTGCATTAAATTCTGAATTTTAATTTCTTCCAGTCAGAAGGAGGATCCAGGGAACTACATGTCTATTAGCATGACCTTGGTGCTCGAAAAAGTTATGGAACAGGTTATCTTGAGTGCGATCATACAGCATGGACAGGACAACCATGGGATCAGGCCCAGAGAGCATGTATTCAAGAAAGGCATTTCCTGCTTGACCAATCTGATCTCCTTTTATGACCAGGTGACCCTCCTAGTGGATGAGAGAAAGGCTGTGGGTATTTTCTGCCTGGACTTTAGTAAAGGCTTTGACATTGTCTCCCACAGCATTCTCCTCGAGAAGCTGCAGACCATTGCTTGGACAGGTGCACTCTTCACTGGGTTAAAGACTGTCTGTATGGCTAGGTCCAGAAAGTGGAGGTGAATGGTGCTACATCCAGCTGGCAGACGGTCACCAGTGTGGTAAGCCCCAAGGCTTGGTATTGGGGCCAGTCCTGTTTAATATCTTTATCAATGACAAGAGGATTGAGCTACCCTCATTCAGTTTGCAGACACCAAGCTAGACAGGAATTTTGATTTGTTGGAGGAAAACAAGGCTCTGCAGAGGGATCTAGACAGGCTGGATTGATAGGGTGAGGCAATGGTATGAGGTTCAACAAGGAGATGTGCCAGGTCTTTGCCCTTGAGTCGCAACAACCCCGTGCAACACTGCAATGCTGGTTGACAGCAATAGAACATGAGCTAGCAGTGTGCCCAGATGGCCAAGAAGGCCAATGGCATCCTGGTCTGTATCAGAAATAGTGTGGCAACAGGACTAAGGAAGTGATTCTCCCCCTGTGCTTGGCACTGCTGAGTGTCCAGTTCTGAGCCCCTTCAAGAAAGACATTGAGTTGCAAGTGTGTCCAGAGAAGGACAGTGAAGCTGGGGAAGGATCTAGAGAGGAAGTTATATGATGAGTTTCTGAGGGAGCTGGGCTTGTTTAGCCTGGAGAAAAGGAGATTTAGGGGACACCTTAATGTTCTCTACAGCTTCCTTGTAGGAAAGTGAGGATCAGCCACTTCTCCCAGGCAACTAGTGACAGCATAAGAGGAAACGGCCTCAGGCTGTGCCAGGTGAGGTTCAGGTTAGATATCAAGAAGAAATTTTCACTGAAAAGTGGCGGTGGTCAGGCACTGAAACAGGCTTCACAGAGATGTGGTGGAGTCAGCATCCCTGGAAGTGTTCAAGAGATGACTGCACATGGCACTTAGTGCTATGGTTTAGTGCTATTGTGTTCAAAGGTTGGACTCGATGGTCTTGGTGGCATTTTCCATCGTTAATGATTTGATGATTCTATTGCAGTACTTTGCAATCTTTTTTTCTCCCAAATGAATTAAGAAATCTGAAAGGAGTTTACAAAATTTACTGCAGTCATAATTAATTTTGTTGACAAACACATAAACACATCCATTCAAGGAGAAAGAAAGAGGCAAACATGAAAAGAATTGAAACAAAACCAGATTAGCTCAGCTTTATTTCTCTTTATTTTTCTTGTTTATGTGCAATTTACTTCTTTCCTACTCTTCTTTTTCTATTTTTCCATACTTGATCCTTCCCAAATCACCCCCATTTCACTGACAACATCCCAATAGTCTTGCACACTGCTGAAATTCTCTTCCCTGCACCTCACAGCAAAACTTGTACCCCTGGGCGATGTCACCAGTTTGTGGGGTAACACAGAGAGCCTCTCCATTGACTCCTGGTGTTAGCTGTCCCCCATGGGGCTGGTTCATGAATTTCTGTGCTGTGAGGATGGGGCTTTCACAGTCTGATTACTCCTGTAACAGCCACAAAGGAGTTAAATCATGGTAATATTTGGCTTCCCACAGCTGCCATTTCTCCTCTGATCTCCTTTGTCTATGTGGAGACCAGCTCTTCATCACATACAGGCTATGAAAGTTTAAATGTCCCAAGTATTCAACTGTGACATGCCTCAAGGAATATTTATTCATCTATATTTGCATACATATATTTATAAATATTTATGAATTTATATGGATTTATAGGATATACATGATGAAATGATGGAATAGAGAATATACATATTAAGTCCGAAGGTGGTTGTAAAGACTATCATCATTTTGGAGATCAATATTAGAGTGCAGAGATCTGAATTAAATAATGATGAGCAGATAGTCTGATGGAATAATTAACCATACACATGCTGGATTATACTAAAAGAAAATTTGGATGTTATAGTGGATTGTAGCTGAGCATGAATAAACACTATGCTGTTATGAATAAGGAAAATACACAATTTATAAAGAGCAGTACAGACTGTAAACACAGGAAACAATATTCCTGCTTCCTGCAATCATCACAGGATGATTTTAGGCACCATAAAAAAAGGGGGGGGAGGGGACACAACAGAGAGAGAAGCAACAAAAATAAAGAGACACCAGAAAAATATGACCTATGAGAAATTTTGGAAGAACTGGAGTTTATCATTTTGTCTTCAGAGTCTGAAACACAGTCTTCATGAAAGGTTGCTGTGAAGTGGAAGAGAATCATTTGTTGTGCAAGTCAATCATGTATAGGAGGAGAACTACTAGAACAATAGAACAATGAGGCTCTTAGGTTAGACATGGAGAAATTCATTGCATTGATTGCATTATATTGAATTACATAAATTATATTTTATTATAAAAACCAATGAAACATTTGAATAGATTATTTTGTATTGCAAGGTTTTAAATTTTTTTATTGGGCCTGTTGGATGGAGGATGGAGTAATTAGACCTTGAGATTCAGAACAGCTATTTTATACATTCTCTGATTAGGTATTCTGTGACTGGCAAACTTGGTGGTGCCTTTGATCCTGGAGTTTCCTCAATACCTAATTCCTTTAGACTTATAACTATGTTTCTTTTTATACAAATCTAACAGTATTAGAGTAGGCTCATGTACCACTTTCCTGTAATAAACATCTAATGAAACTGTTTCCTGTAAAAGAAGCTATTTTGATGCATACTCTCATCAGATTAATGTGCATGATATTTTACATCATCACACAGATTAGTGAATGGAAATTACTCAGTGTATAACATAAGCATAAGCATAACAGATAATTCAGTATCTAAAGCATAAAGAGCAAACCCCTATTGCAAAACAGAAAGGATCAAGAAGTGGCAATAATACATGAGCACATATTTAAAGGTGTTATTATTTTATTGTTAGATTTGATTTTCAAGCTTCAGACATGAAAGAAGACATCGAGAAGCCTGTTCTGGCTATAATGAAATCAATAGCAAAATTCTCATGGACTCAAGCCATCATGATTAACTTTCTATGTCAGCATCTTCCTCTACAAACCGTAAGACTTCTGGTTTTTGGTGCTAGTTCACATCAGCAATGCAATAGGGAAATTAATTTATGGGAGTTAAATAAGAATGAGCACAAGTAAAGAGTAGGACATTAAGAAATGAAAGGATGACAGGATGTTTGAGAACTTAATGTTTTTTAAATGTATAAGTAGTCACATGAATACCCCAAGAGAGAGAATTGTCTTGAGTGGATGTCAGATTGCATTTGTAGAACAAGAAGAGATGTTACAAACTGATTAGGAACTGGTACTCTTAGCAGATATGAGCAACTGCATCTGAAGAACTGGTATATATTAGCAGATATGAGCAACTGCATCTGAACGAACAGAGCAAAGCTATATACCTCAGCAATATGTAAGCATCACAGCCTCATACAG